TGCTTAGCAATCTCAACTGTAGCGTGCCCGTTGTGGTGCAATCCTCAGAGCCCAAGATGTACAGACTACACGCCACCGCCAAGCTCGAGTGCATGGTCTTCGGTAGCCCAACCCCGGATATTATTTGGGTAAGTTAGTCACTGGGCTCATATTTCAACCTACTCCAATTGGTTTACTGTTTGCAGGTGACGCCACGTCACAAGATTCTGCGTCATCACGCCGATCCTGACAAGCGACCTATCATCATCAACAGCGATAAAGAACATCAGCCCAGTAAATTTGAACTTTTCGCCCTTACGGACGACAGCAACGCCCAGACGTTGCACATAAACATCAGCAGGCAGAAGAGCATTGTGGGTCAGCGTGTGGTGCTCATCGAGAACGGCTCGCTGCTGGTGCATAATATATCACGCGGGGACAGCGGCCTCTACACCTGCTATGCCTTTAATGTAATGGGCAATGCATCGGCAGGCATAAGGTAAGATCATAACAACGATATTCATTTTCAGGCCTGCACACCCAACAGTCACGCGTCTTCAAATTTAATTTGCAGTTCCTTAGTTTGATTTTTTAAAGTATATTTTAATAGCACCATTTGTAGACCCAGCTATACGATCAATGACAGTGACAAAACAGAGAGAGAGAGAGCTATTAGGCTTATCGGCAGAACCCTCATCTGGTAAGACGATCTCCAAGAAGTGACCCATTCCTTGCTTAACGCTGAACAAAACTGGGAAGTAGACATTTCTGGTACGACCAGTTGGACTAGGGCCGGGGCTAGCCCCTGTTTAGGATTGCCGCGTTTGTGGGAGTATTATGGCAACTGCGATAGAGATAGAGCAGCGGTCGAACTGCCTACTGAAAGGGGAATGTCGAGACGTATTCCGAACCGTTGTTATCATTATATATGTGGACAGTACTGTTCGTTAAATAAACTTAATTAGTTAGGAGATGCACATTATGATATTTTATCTGAAATAGTCCCAATAAGTGGATATGTTGCGTGCCATGTATTTTATTTAATAAGCCGAAGATGACCGTTGCACTTTTTGTATTTTGTTTATCAATTAAGTATACATTACATTTAAAAGGAAAACTCACCAGAAGTAAAGCAATGCGATACAAAAACAAAAATGCCTATTGACATTTTACAGTTCTGGCCAACACGTTAATAAATAAATATTTTTTCTAAGGTTATAGTTTTTAACTATGAATCAAACTTTTAAATAACACTTGCAATGAGTTCGACTAATACAAAAACCCCGGATCTTCGATGTTCAGGGCTGGGTCACTTAGATGCAGCTGCAGCGATGAATATAATTAATTGTACATAATATTAATATTGTTACAACGAGTTTGGTATATAGTTATAAACTCTTAACCTATCTTTTCCAATAGCATCGTCTTGGAAAACACTACATCCTTATCCAAAACTGGGATTCGAACCCGAATTCTTGTTCTGCAGTTGCCTGACAGACTGGGTCATCAATCGCAGACGGCAGATTTGTGTATTTATTTTAATCAGAAACAAAAACTTTTTTAATTTTAATCTTAGTGAACGTGTCCCATATGTTGTTTTTAAGCGTGCCATATATATGATAAATAAATTATTCATATTTCTCTTCACAGACTCTACATTGATCCAATTGTATTTTATCGTGTCAAAATCGAAAGCCTTCTGGCTGGCACACTGCTAGCAACAGCATTTTTGTTGCTCACACTCCTGGTGCAAGGATTGCGCAGCTGCCTGGTTAGATTCGGTGTCTGCGATCGTTTGTCCTGTTGTGCGAATCGCAATAAGAAGTCACCGAGATCGCGGCAAATTTACGCAATGCTGGACAGCATTGAGAGCTACAAGAGCCAGCAGCTGGAGCGTTTGCGTGAGAATTATGCACAGCAGGTGCATCGTATCCGGGAGAATTGCGCACAGCAGGTCGAGTGGATACAGAGCAGCTACACTACGCAGGCCAAGCACATTAAGGAGTTCCGCGACATGGGCTCTAATCATCTGACTGCACTAAAAGATCAATACTGCGATCAGGTGAAGAAGGTGCGCGACTATTCCACCGGCCAACTGAGCTGGGTGCGCGAGAACTATGTCTTCCAGCGCAATAAAATCCGCAAATTCAGTGCCCACCAGGTGTTGCGACTACGCGAAGGCTACAAGTATCAGCAGCAGTCATTGAACAAAGTGCTGGAAAATCTGCCCAGCTTCTACTTCGAGAACTGTCGCAGTCGCTGCGAGGAGGATATTGTCGAGGGTAAGTATCGGTATCTATTTTTGTAACTAGATGAAATAAATATTTCCCTGTGTTTCCTTGGTAGACATAGACTGTTACTTAAAGAGCCAAATGGAAAAGGAGTTGCACATACAGAAAATTAAATCACGGCTGATGGTCGCCGACAATTCGGCTAGCAAGGCTTCACTTTATTATACGCCGCCAGAGGACGATCTATTCCATTGCTCTCAGCTGAACCTGCAAACTACGCCAATACACATAAACTATATTGACGAGAATCTGGATCATCAGAAGTTGGAGTTGTACGACTTTAAAATAGATCCGCAAATGTTGCTCTTTAGCAAATCGGAATTATATGTTAATCCAGAAGGCGCGAGCAGCAGTCAGGCAGCTGCCATGGCAGCTTTACTTGGCTGCAGTATCGAGGATAACAACCAGAATGCTCAGCTTTTGGAGGAGCATGTTAGTCATGTGGAGATGACTAAACTGAAGGATGCAAGTGATGTTAAAAATTCCAAATCGTGTCCTGCTATTTATAAGGTATCCAAACAGCAAGATGGTAGCACGCTGCACGAGCTGCTCACCGAAGACGGAGCACCACATCAGATGGTGCATCTCAATCCAGTCGATGAGTCGACATTGACGACGTTGCAGATGCCCAAGGAGAAGCTAAACATCGTTGTGGATGACAGTGACGAAGACGAAGACCGGTTATCTCAAGATCGGATGAAGACAGAACTAGAAGATTCCAATACGCCGCCGGCGCCCGCGTTAGCCGCATGCGACTCCAACAGCTTCCCTGACAAATGCAGTCAATCCTATCAGCAGGCCAGTGCGCAGCCTGCTTGCAACACGTAGAGATTTTATTAATTTTTAAATATGTTATTAATGAAAAACAGCACACAATACAAAAAAAAAATTGACGCTAAAAACACATTAAACAAATGTTAATGTTTAAAATGTGTAAAATGAAAATGCATCAAACAATAATTACGTATAGAGTTAATTAGTGAAACTTAATGAATTCAAAAACTAAACATCGGATGGATTAAACATAAATGAAAAAACAAGTCATACGATTTAAATAATAGTAAAATTGAAAACTTAGAATGTGCTCGTGTGGAGAAGGTATCATCAATAATGTCAATACTTGAAAAGCCCCCATTTGTGATTTCATCAATATAACATATGAAGCGATTTATTTATAGAGAGCGCATTAAATCTACATAGAGTCAGGCGTATTTTAAAGAAATGATAAAAACAAATTTTATTCAAATTCTGAAAAGGCAAATAAAGCAAAATATATATATATATACACACAAAAATATTTGTGTCTATTAATCTAATCTCTGATAAGTGTGCTCGCCATGAGTGGACGATATTTGTTGAACGAAGGATTGTCAAATAATGCTATGGATTCGATTTTAAAGGTTTGCAGCGCTTGTTTGGGATTTGCGCGCAGTTTAAACAGGGGGTCAAAAAAATACTTGGGTTTGGATGCCAATCTATATAATAATTTAGTAGCTCAGTAGCTTTATGATATTTTCAAGACGCTGGCGTTTTACACAGAACAAATTAAATTAAATTAAAGATCACCAACAGCTCTTTAACACTACGGATTGGGGCACTCGGGCTGTTTGAGCACTTCAATGGCACATGGGTTGGCATCGATTTTGCATATTTCGGTTTCAGATTCAACATCACTGAGATCATAGTCACACTCGCAAGGAAAGCATTCCATTTCACCCTCCTCACCCTCGCCTTCGGCTTCCTCGCCCTCGCCATAGAAGCTGATCTTTTCTTGGCTTTGGACGCTCGGCTCTGTGGTCAGCGAGCATACAGATAGCTCCGAATCGGAGATGGGCAGTGGTACCGGCTCTTGAGGCAGTAGAGAATAATCATAGACAGCGATCTCCTGGGCAAACCACAATGTGGGCATTGGCTCCTCAATTTCGGCCTCCTCTTCTTCGGCATCTTGGTTGAATTCGTCCTCGGCAAGTTCCCCGGAAGATCGAACAATTTTGAAACTATAATCGGCCGGCAAAAAGTAGCCAAGCAGCATATAGCGATTGTCAAAACTGAAGACGGCAGGTCCTGTCGGATAGAGATTGTCCCAAATACCATGCAAGATGGTGCACTTGTCATCGTTGCCAATATACATCTCGAAGGGACCCATGCGTACATTGGTGTTCCAAGTGGACTTTAGGCGCACTGTCATGCAGCAGTTATCCTTGTCGGTTTTGAAACTGTAGATGCCAACACCATGACGTAGACCCTTATACCAATCACCCGAGTACGTATCCCCATTGGCATAATTGTAACGGCCCTTGCCGTGCTTCAGATTCTTGCGCCAGTTGCCTTCGTAGACGGAACCATCGGGATAAATGAATATGCCGCGACCACAGCGAACACCACAGCGATATTGTCCGTAATATCGAGCACCATTCTTAAATACATAAAGCCCGATGCCATGACGACGTCCCTTACGATAATTGCCATCGTACTGATCGCCATTTGGCAGAATGGCCCAGCCGCGTCCATGGCGATATCCTGCTGCATTGCGTCCACCTATGTATTTCTGTGGGTGCAAATTGCGAATGGAGCATGTAACCGGGACAAACAGTTGACAAACAGTGTGCACCTACGCCAATATTTGGTCCCTCGTCCTCCTCTTCCGGAAATGAAAGCTCCGATTCCTCGGATCCCTCCGAAACGCTCATAATATAATTTTATTAAATATACTTTGCGTCTCGTTTGAAATAAATTTTTGGGAACTGTACTGTATTCACATATAAACTACGTTTAAAAACATGCGAAGCATACGCTTACTATGTCTCAATGGCGTAAAAGAAATTGGCCAGCGGATATCGGATGAATAGAGCCAACAGCGTGCACAGCACCTGGAAGCCCATCAGCATTTGGGTGGCGACACGCTCGTGTACCGGCCCAAAGACGACCAGCACAAAATTGATGAGCGTAAAATTGTTGGTTATGACGCGTCCGTCGGCCTGCTCCTGCCAGCTGATCAGATGCAATACGCGCAGCACTGTGACCATTAGGCGACCCAGACTGTTCAGTTCCTTCATGCGAAACTCCGTGGTGCTGATGTGCAGCAGATCCGATTTGGCGTCGTACTTGGGCAGTCGATGCCTCGGACAGGGCACAAAGTGAAACAACTGCGGCGTCGAGTACAGAAAGTTGAGTATCTGTGGCAGAAAGAACAGCAATAGCGTCTTGCTAAAATGTCCCAAGATGCCAACAACGGCAAAGGACATGCCGGCAAAATAACAATACGTATCGCCCACAAACACCTGAGATGGATATCTGCAAGCAAAAATAAAATAACAGTAAAATTACCAAACATCTAAATAAATTCGACATTTATCATGTAGGGTAACATTGGTCGCTACTTGAAATTTTAAATGTGTAACGGAAATACAAAACAAAATATACTAGCTTTAATTTGTTTGTTTTCCGTATATATATTCCGTACTTATGCATAAGTCGAATTCAATTTATATCAAGAGTAAGTTTGCTATGGTTGTTAAAAGGAACGCATGATTTTAAGGCTAAGCTCGAATAAAAATAAATGAGTATATTATAAAAATGGCACCACTTGGTACAAGACACAGTACATGCTTCGGTACATTTGTAAACATATGGCAGCCGTGACCGTGAGAGTACATGGTTACAGAAAAGAGGTTGAGCTAGTCCATACAGCGACAGTGTTAATAACGAGAAGGAACGTGACGTCACAATTTAACACTGGACAACCGACTACTTATAGGAGAAAATACACAACAGAGTACCAAATAAACAATCGTCATAAATATTAAATTGATATACAAAAAGAGAACGCAATACTTTAACGAAAATATGTTTACTTTCATGCCGTTTCTTTCGTGGCCAACTTTGAACAGCTGAGAGCGCAGGCATAAAAAGAGAAACACCGCTAACGTCAGCTGTGCGGGTGGGCAGCAATATGTGAAAAGTGGGTGTGTTAGTTGGAAAAAGCAAGAAAACTCAAAAACGCATAACTCAAATAAGAACAAAAAATAACCATGTACAGTGTGTAGTCACAACAGCTCACAATGGCCAAGATTACAGGTCTGAGCCAGACACTTGCAACCGGCGGCGGCCGTCTGGCGAGTACCAAGAAGCTCGTCCTGTGGTCTGTGGTGCTGGTTCAGGTGTGTTTCATTGGCTGCATTTGGCTGCTGCAGGCTAATCATAGCCAGCTGCAGCTGCAGTCAGGCAGCAACAACAACAACAACAACAGATTGGAGCTGGAGCAGGGCCGTGTGCATTTCGTGCGGCAGGCAAGCAACGCAAAAAAAGCGCAGAACCAAAACGGGACGCCGCATTGTCCGCAGAGCGAGAACATTAATCGGTATCAGCAGGATTTCTTTCAATTGAAAACCGATCAATTGAATCGCTCTGCAGACTATCCCATGCCGGCATATATGGATCTGGGGCTAACGTCAACGCTGTGGTGCTACGCCGAAGGCACACTAAACGAATCCCGGCAGGCAGGACGAAACAACGTGGACTATTTAATGTCGCAGCCGCAGTGTCCGTGTGCCAGCGGCTGGCATGGTCGTGACTGTGGGCAACCGGAAATTATATGGCGTGCCCTGATGACGCACAGTCGCGCCAGCAGACGTGGCGGCAATGAGGCGCCGCTGAAGCTGCACGAGGCGAGCAGCACAACATTAAAGCGACTTTACTATATGCTGAACCTGGGCGCCTGGGAGCACATCAATATGGAGCTGTTGGAGTTGCAGCTGCGCACACTCATCAAGGTTGTAGACTGTTTTCTCATCTACTACCAAGTGAGAGACAGCAAAGACAGACTGACACGGCGCACACTCGTCCGCCAGTTGGACGCTCTGCCCATTGCCAGTTACCTGCTGTATCAGTGCGAGGGTCAGAGCCATGGCAACTGCAGCGGCGCAACTGCCTACAGCTATTTTCATCACCAGCTGTGGACTCTGTGCGGTGTGCAAATCCAGCCTAAGGATTTGCTATTGTTTGGCCATGGGGAAACTGTTTATGCGCCGGCTGCTTTGAAATTTCTCAAATACTTTGCGAGCGATGTGCTGCCGTTGCGCTTCAGACTGAAGCATAATGTGTACGGGTTCTATTGGCAACATCCGCAGCGCACACGCCTGGACGGTGTCATCAGCTCCCTGGTGCATATGCACAGCGTCCAAATGGATCCGCAACGACTGGAGCGTCAAGCGAGCTACACGCTGGGTGATCTCAATCACTATGGCGGCTGGAGCTGTGAACTCTGCATGCCGTCTGAACAGATTGTTAACATGCTGACAACCCGAGCAGCTGGCAGCCACAGTGACCCAACTATACGAATGCCCAACGAGACGCGTAGTTCACGGATTGATGCAGCCTACATTCAGCAACTGATGGGTGCGGGCATGCTCTTGGATGGACGCACGCAATTGCTGCGACTGCGGCAACAGAGTGAAAAATATTATGCGCCGGAGGCGGCGTTGCTTTACAGCAGTCAATTTGGACAATTGCTTGTCAATTTGTATGATACGAATGCGCTGGATGATGTGCAGGAGGATGAAGACTAAGACTAACATCTATTGTCCTATTCGGCTAGTTATACTCGTATATATATATGTATATGTGCCTGCTTTCCCAATCATCAAACAAACTTACATGTTTTTACTTTAAGCTAAACATATCGTCATCTTTAATCCAATCGTATATCACGCTCTGATTTCTCATTAAACCAATTCAAAATTTAGTATCTCAGCAGGCAGAGAGCGCCGACAGACCCGCCATCTGTGATAAGAAACTAAACTAGAAAGGAATTTAAAATGATTCTCAAATTTCATGGAATTTGATGTTGGGAATTTAGTTAAAAGTACGTAAATTAAGTATGCGAGTTCTCGACATGAACAGATTCGTTTGTTTTATAAGTATATATATTGATAAATGTTAACAGGCAAGCTAATTTCAGTATTTATCAAATAAATCATAAACAAATTTGATCCAAAGCCAAACTCGTTCTTCTAGGAAACTGAGATTTTAAGGGACAGGACGGAAAATACCAACAATTAATCTTGTACATATTTGGAAATACAACAGAAACAACAATGCCGAAAGTTGTAATAAATCGATTGCTCAGAATTTGTAACTAGCTAAAAAGAAGGCGTTCAATTTAAACAAATGCGTATGTGCGTTCTTTGATGAAGTGGGAACAAAGGTTGTTAGCTTTATGAATTCTTGCACTTACCTATTAAATTTCCACAGAGCCAAAGAGGTAGCAAAGAATGGTATCATAAAATACAATGAGAACTGATGTGATTCCATCTGATGACCCAGACTCAGTTCGATAAGGTTAAACAGCAATACTGAAGCGGCAATAATAAGGGACTGGCCCACCTCCAGGCCATTGATGCCAGCGAGTATGTTGATGGCATTGGTGCAAAATACCGCCAGACTGCCCATGAAAATGTAGTAGAGCATGCCTGTAATCGAATTCGTTATTAGATCGAAAATAAAAGCGTATTCATTTCAGTACCAATATTGACAGACGTGCCAAAGAGGCCGCGCGCAAAGTTGGGCATCATGACCGTGGTGGAATTATAGTTGACATAGTAAACCATCAGCAGAGGCAGCGTCGCTATGGTGGGCAGCAGGAGCTTGTGCCGCCAGCGCAGATCGAGCACATCGTCGGCAAAGCCAAGAAAAATCATGCAACATATTGATAACAGCGCGGCAATGAGCTCCACGAACTGTCCCAAAAGATAACAATATCATAATTAGTTTGCCTCTCATTAATGAGTCATCATAAATTACCTTATTGTGCGGAAAAGTTACCGGCTTCCCGCCAGTAACTGCGTCCATGGCGGCAGCCTCATCGAACGCAAATGGTATGGGTATAAAGAGGAACATTGAGATCAAGAAAACGCAGCCAATAATGACACCATAAGACTCGGGCCTAAAAAAAATGAAAAACTCAGCACTTAATGTGAATATAATATATATATGAATAGGTATACGACTTCACTTACACCTGTGGCTTGTCCTTTTTGCACAGATCCTTGCCGCACAAATTTGCCTTGATGAACATCTCACGAAGGCGGGGTATCATGCGCACCGTCATCAGATATGCTCCCACGGATATGGCACCGTTTATTGCAATTGCCGCCGTGGACATTTTGGAGGCCGTAGTTGCGCTAATTAGATTATAGTTGCTTGCAAATCAGCTGCACCGGCTCCCAGTCCGAGTTAATGAGTTTACGTGTAGGTTTCAATGCACGCAAAGGTGATGGGTTATCACAAAATCATTATGCCGAAAGTTAAGCAAGTGGTGGGCGCAAAAGTACACGCAATTTGACGGCAGCAGATAATAACAAATACAGCTGATCGAAGCGACAGCAAGTAGCTTAATATCGCTTAATTTGAATGATATCGATAGGCAACGTAATGAAGTATCGATGATTGCCAAACGGCAACAGATCCAATGTCAATGAGACCATACTGACATTGCTTTGTAAACAACTAAAACACTTGTCCAGCACTATGTTAAATTGTACAGCCCGGAACGCAAAAGAGTAACATCACTGACTACATAACAACTGCATCAACAGTGCGAACGGCGCATAAAGATGCGTGCCAAAACTATCGATTTACATTAAACACTTTGCTGACAAAGCAAAATATGTCAGTTATCGCTCAATTTAAATGCGATCGAAACGAAACTTTATTTTGTATTCATAGTATACGACTTTTTATTTAATATAATATCATTGTTCTGCAGCTTATAGTGACTGAACACCCGGTTTATACATGTAAATAAACATTTTGATAAATATAACAAAACATAACTTAATTAGAGAACGAATACTTTCAACTTTTTAAGTTTGGTCCAACTTTTTTTTGGCTGAATGCCTGCCTATGCTATCGGTCGCGAAAAAATGGGAACACTTTTTGCAATTCCGCTTTGGATTTACACGCCTCCACTTGTGGCAATGCCTCCATAACATTTAACATATAGATTTGCAGCTGCTGTCGACGCTCTTCGACAAAGACGAGATTCATGTTGCCAAAATGCTTTTTAGGCGGAAACTCAATGGAGCCAATAATATTGGGATGCGTGCGCAACAAGGATTTGTGTAGTTTGTTAAATTCGCTATAGCGACGAAAGAGCGTCCAATGCTCCAGCCGCTGGCGCATGGTTATGTGCATCTCGTAGACGTAATGCGATCCTGAACGCGGCGTCTTAACGAGTTTCACTTGTGGAATGGTAATCAGAAAGTTTGAACAAAACGACGATGTCGGATCAATCCCGGTCTCGTTGAACTGCTTGGTGAGACGACGAATCAGTTGTCGATTTTGTAGCTTCAGCTCGGCCACTCGTGTTTCCAGCAGGGCGCAACGTTCGTTTAGCTGGGACACCTGCTCCGCCAGCTGCATTGTCTGTTGGCTGCTGCCCCCGTTCGCGGAGGACGATGACTTGCTCCACTGCGAGGAGGTATCACTGCGGTCCTCAAAGAGTTCCTGCGCATCATTAGTGTGTTCCTGTTCGTGGTCTTGATCTTGGTCTGTTGGATAAACATCGGGTAGCGGAGTTTTCAGAAATTCCAGTTCGGGCTCTATAGGATCACAGGGCGTTGCACAAACGGGCATGTCTGGCATTGAAGGCATCAGTTCCTGCTCAATGGCATCCTTCGAGGTAATCTGCTGCACCTCCAGCATTTGGCGCGGACTGAGCGCACCCAACAAATCCTCAGTTGATGTGGCGCACACAATCGGTCGCTTGACAGCCGTCGCCATGCGTCCAGGCTTGCGCGTGGCCACTGGAACAGGTTGCGGTGCGTATATAATGGGCTCCTCTTTCACAATGCCAACTCCTGGCACTGCCAGTCGTTTCGGCGCATTGAGCTCAGGATTTTCAACACTGAGGGCAAAGAGTACATCCTTGAGGCTGTCCAGTATTTCGGGCAATTTCTTGGCTGCCTCCTCGTTGAGCAATAGCGACCAGGGCGTATAGAAACGCTGGAGTTGCGCCTCGTCGCTCAGCCAGGTTAGAACGTGGCTCTGCAGCCGCTTCTCGTTGAGTGTGGCGCGTATGAAAGCGCGGCCGCGTCCGTGTTTCGTCCAGATTTGCTTGAGCTCCTCGAATCGCTGTCTTTCGTGTGGCGTCAACTGTGTCTCACAAAAATCCCAAAATGTGGTTTCATTGTTGTTGCTGCTGCCGCCAGTGCCACCTGTTACAATCTCGTGCATATTTTGAAAGATGCTAGCAGCCGTGATTGAAACATTCAACATTTGTCGTAGTCCATATGCAAGAGTATCTTCCAATGCCTCGCATAACTCCTGCACAACATCGTCCTTCTCTGTGGCTAGTTCGCGTTTTCCACTATAAATTTCACTTGTTTGTTGCGCACTTTGCTGCAGTCGTCGAAAAATATCCTCTCTTCGTTGTCCGAAAGTGCTGCCACCTAGGGTGGTGCGAATTTGTTCTGGCAATGCACTTTCGGGCATTTTCATATATTTACATATGTATATATATTTCGCTTGTTATTGTTTGGCTATTTATTTATTTGCGTTTTCATTCTCTTTTTAACTAGTGTTGGCTAATATTGTTTTAAACTAGTATATCGATAGCTGTGTTTTTAGACCAATCACATTTCTGTTTAGAACAGATTTCAAACCCTTCATTCTTTGATGATACAAATTCGATTAAGCAATATTTGTAACTATAAATAGATTTAGAAAAAAAAAATTGAAAACATACCTTAAATTTCATAAGTTCGAATAATATAATGTGCTGTAATATTGTGAATCCATTGTCTCCCTAAATTTGTATAAATCGATGTACTGAGTTCGGTTACTAAACTAAAGCACTTTACAGCACTGCCTGGTCCACGCGATTCACAGATTGACAATAGCACATCGCTAAGTATCGGCTAAGTTGCGTTTGCACATCACCAATCATCGCCAAACTAGCATTAAATTTGCGCGTAAAAGAATGCCAAAAACTGGGTAAATGCTACAAAATTATCAATCGCGTTAAAATTAACCAGCAACAAGCGTGAGAATAACAATTCACACGAAAAACTGCGTATTGATTGTGCTAAAAATGTAAGTTTTCAGATGCGTGAGGACGATTTGTGAGTTTTCTTTTGTGTTCGTTCGTTCGTCGTCTGGTCGCACGGTGCGCTTCATTGACTTTTCGAGCGAGTGTAAAGCGTAAAAAATGACCAAAACTGCAAAAACTATTTCGGTTTTAGCAAACCGAATTCAATAACAATTGCATTCAAGTGATTTTTGGACTATGTTAATGCAATTGGAAATCTGAAGAGCATTTTAGCAGCAGCTGCGCTTCGATTTCGTAGAAAGCGTAAAAAGAGGAAACAAACAGAAGCGGAACTGAAACAGAAACAGAAGAAGAATCGGAAAACAGGCGCCGATGACGGTCCATATGGTCAGCAAGTGCAGGAGTCTGTTTATATGTGTGTTTGTGTGTATTTCCATTGCAGCCAAAGTCGCCGCTTCACAAATGCCACAGCAAAAGACGCTTCAATTTGTGTAAACAATAATCAACAAATATACTAAACTAAAAACAACAACAGCAACCATATATAAAATGAATCCGGCCGAGTTGCGCATGATGTGGATGAGCAGCCAATACAACTCTGAGCGCATTTCATTGGAGGATGCTGCAACTCTGCTCGGTCACTCAACTGTTGGTCTATCCGTCATGGAGGACATGACCCACCAGCCCACTTTGGTAAGCCACTTACAATATATACCTGAATATTAAGGAGTCCAACTCCCTTCCCCACTATGCTTGCCAATCTCTAGGCTGAAGAAACCCAAATTCAGTAGGCTTATGTATACCTGAGAATTGGCCAGAATTGGAATCTAATCTACCTTCTATGTGTGGAGATAGTTTTTAAAAAATTCTTTTTTTTTTTTTTGAAATTGTCAGTTAATCTTTTCGCATTTAAAAACAGCTTGCATTGTCGGATTTTGCACGGACTAAGCGGGTTTTCATCATATTGAATCATAGTTTTTCACCGAGTTTTGATATTTTCCATTAACGTTTTATATACATCTCTGAGGCCAGCATTTTATCAGATTGTAGTTTACATATATAAAAAAAAATAAACGTTCACTAATTTAAAAAACCTCTTTAAAGGGGGGAAACAAACAATAACATTATGGGGCCCAGGGAAAGTCGTGTAATACCAAAAATTGCTCGAGTAAATAGAATTGTAAATATATATTTATATAAATTCACCTCAACAGGTGGAAATTAAGGGAAATTGTATGAAAGGGCCTACGCTAAGTCGGGTAATAACAGTTAAGAAAATCATCCTTTATATATATATATGTATGATCTGTTTCTGCTTTAGTTAACAATTGGAATTCGTTTACTTATTTCTTCTACTTTCTTTTCTATGATTTATGTATTGGTTACGTTGTATCCGTATCCGTATCCATTCAACTGTCAACTGTATCCAACTGCCCATAAAAAACAACTGAACTGAACTCAACACAAACTTAAACACAAACAACAACAACAACGACAACAACAACAACACCACCTCCAACTCCACCTACACCACCAAAGGATATGAGTCCAATGATGAGCATTGTTGGGGGGGATTTTACGGGACAGGCAGCAGCAGCCGCTGCAGCTTTAGGCGTACAGCCGGCAACGCTCATCGCCACAAATACAAATAATCTGTACGGCTTTGCGCACATGGGCGGACTGCAGCAGCAGCTGCTGCAGCAATCCGCCGCGGCGGCTGTCTTTCAAAATTATGCCGAAGTCATGGACGGCGATGATGGCAACAATGCTGGTGTTGCACTAATGGGAGTCGGCGCCGCGACAGTTGACGATGATCAGCAGGTGTACGGCCAATTGGACGATGGCTATGATGATGGAGGTGCCAGTGGCGGGATGTCAGATCTTGAGCCCAAGCAGGAAATCATAAACATTGATGATTTTGTCATGATGAACGAGGATAACAATTCGTATGATGGCACCGATTTTATGACCTCCTCGGATAAGGACATTTCACAGTCATCCTCCTCGTGCATGACCAGTATGCCCAATCATGATCTGCTCGTGCCCTTAGGCGATGGCCTATTGCATCACAAGCTGCTGGGCACCACGCATCAAATGGTCAATGCGTCAGTGGGCACATCTCTAACCGGCATGACTGCGTCTGGCAGTGGCAATGGTTTCGCCAATATACTAATTGCCGGCGAGGATGCAGCAAGCGCCGCCAACGCAAAGGCGATGCGTCCATACAGCATTGCGTCCAGCAGTTGTAAAGCCGGCAACAGCGGCTCCAGCGGGTCCAGCTCCTCGATGCGTGCACAGCGTAAAACCCGCAAAATTGAGCCAGTCAATCGACCTGGACTTGTGCTAAAAACACCGATCGCCTACAAGGGCAACATTGATCCCTCGGTAATACCGATACAGAAAGATGGCATGGGTATGTTTTCACCTACCTTCACTTTACTTAATTTTCTTACAATTATTATTTTTCTCGCGCTAAACTTGTTATTTTATAAACATATTCTTTTCTCTATTTTTTTTCTTGGGGCGAATTTGGGTTTGGGCTTGTAGGCAGGTAGTTAACCCCACGCATCGAGCTGTGATCTCCCATATTATTATAATTATTAAATAAATATATATTTAAGCTAGTTTTACTGTGGTCGCTCGGTTCGAGTACTAATTCTAATTGTCGAAAAAATTGACCAAGTGCTAGGCCAATAGTTGATACATACAATGATTTGTATACATTTATTTCAAGGGCTTGTCTTTTAATTCTCTATTCAGTGTGTATTTGGAAAAAACAAAATAAATGTTAAGCTAAAATATCATTTATTGATAGTTCCTATGAAATCTATATGGTTTAGTCGTTTGATGTTTAGAGGGGACTTTGTAATTCGTGCTAACTCGAAGAACATACAGGTCATTGGCAATAAAAAATTGTTGCTGCATTTGAACCAGCGACTTCCCGTTTATTAGTACGACCCTTAAACACAAGACACGCAGGCTCAAGATGCATTAAAAATAATAAGTGTGCAAGGGCATACATTTCTCAGAAATAAAGTAAATATTCGAATTTCCTAGCGACCACGGTTGCAATTGCAATTGGGAATCTTTCGTATTGCCCTTAAACTTTTCAACTAATCCAGCCACATTTTTGTGTTTGCTCTGCAGCTGTCTGCGAGCGCTGTGGCGCCATCGGTGTGAAACACACATTCTACACGAAATCGCGACGCTTCTGCAGCATGGCCTGTGCTCGTGGCGAGCTCTACTCGATGGTGCTAAATAGCAAAATGGATGCAAGCAGCTCACCAGCGCCAGCCCTGGAAATGTCAGAGTCATCAGCCACATTGGAGGAGAACCTCGCATCGTCACCGGATGCGCAGCAACAGCAACAACAGCAGCAGCAGCAGCAGCAATCGGACATTGAGCTAACGCTGCAAGCGGCACATATCAAAAATGCCAACTATCGTTTTCGTATCACAGATCAGTCGAAGATTACGCAGCTGAATGGGTTTGGGGAGCCCATGTCACTGGGCGGCGATGCTGCCGCCAACAATGTGCAGATGTCAACGGACGAGACAATTGCGGCACTGAATGGCGGCGCAGTTGGGGATGCTGCAGCGCCTCCGGCTGAAGCTAGCGGCAGTGAGGTCAACTCTGCCGCCAGCAATACATTTGTGAATGCGGCGCCAACGCCTAAGGCGCTGCGTCTGTTTCGTGATGTATTTCCGCAGGATGAGCTGCCGCAGATTCCCAAATACGAACGTCTTCCGGCACCATGCCCACAAATGGAAAAAATCATTAGCATACGGCGGCGTATGTACGATCCGACGCACTCGTATGACTGGCTGCCGCGTCTGGGCAAGGATAATTTTTATGCGGCGCCCGTTACCTGCTTTCCGCACGCGCCCGGCTATGAAGTGTGGGATAATCTGGGCGTAGGCATGAAAGTGGAGGTGGAGAACACGGATTGCGATAACATTGAAATCATCCAGCCGGGCCAGACGCCCACATCGTTTTGGGTGGCTACCATACTGGAGATCAAGGGTTACAAGGCGTTAATGAGTTACGAGGGCTTTGACATGGACACGCACGACTTTTGGGTGAATCTCTGCAATGCCGAAGTCCATTCGGTGGGCTGGTGTGCAACGCGCGGCAAGCCATTGATACCACCACGTACCATAGAGCACAAGTACAAGGATTGGAAGGATTTTCTCGTTGGACGTCTGTCTGGCGCACGCACATTGCCTTCCAATTTCTATAACAAGGTCAATGATAGTCTGCAGTCACGTTTCCGCCTCGGCCTGAATCTCGAATGCGTGGATAAGGATCGCATATCGCAGGTGCGACTGGCCACAGTAACTAAAATTGTGGGCAAACGGTTGTTTTTGCGCTACTTTGATTCGGACGATGGCTTCTGGTGTCATGAGGATTCGCCCATTATACATCCTGTAGGTTGGGCAACCACGGTTGGACACAACCTGGCCGCACCGCAAGACTATCTAGAGCGCATGTTGGGTAAGTACACGACTGATTGCCATTCCAAATGAATCCCCAATTTGATATATATTTTGTTTTCCAGCGGGTCGTGAGGCCATGATT